TCTTCGGGTGGTCGCAGAAACTTGTCCAAAATTGGGTAAGATTTGGTATGGCAATCGCAAGTCCAACAACCGAAATACCGTCAATCAAATTCCCGACGTTCAAAATCCCGACTGTATTGAAATCCCGACTGTATCAAAATCCCGACTATATTAAAATACCGACAACCATAATCCCGACTGTATCAAAATTCCGACTATATCGAAAATGTTTACAATAACATTTTTAAAATTTTCCGGACTGACTTTTAAATTGTTATTAGTAATAAATAATAACAATTAACAATCTAATTGTATTTGAGATTATTTCATAATGTTAAGTTTTATAATGAATAATTCAACAAAATCAATTAAATTAATAATAATTTATTGTTATTAATAATAAAAGTGTAACACAAGGTGACTACACTCCAAAATAATTTAAAAATGTTATTGTAAAAATTTTCGTTATAGTCGGAATTTTGATACAGTGGGGATTATGTTTGTCGGTATTATGGTTGTCGAAATTTTGATACAGTTGGGATTATGGTTGTCGAGATTTTGATATAGTCAGGATTTTGATACAGTTAGGATTTCGATTGTCGGGCTTGTGATATAGACGCGAACAAACTAACACAAAAAGAATTTTCTTATAAACCTTGAAACTTTGTCAATAAGTAATATATTTATAGCTTCAAGAAAATGTATATGCATTTCTATAGTTTCCCAATTTAATTAAATAATCAATGTCTAATTTACAGAGACTGGATGTTGTCACTGTAATAAATAAAGGATTCAAGGATTCCTGAAATATTTTTTTTTTACTAAAAAATTAATGTTTTTAAATCACTTAAAATGTAGAAAATATATTATAATATAAATAAAACAAATGGTTAGTTGAGTGCAGTGCATTATTCATAAGATTCAGTGAAAATCCTCTCAGAAATAAATCCTTTTATGTACTAGTGATTGAATTAGCCGGGAAAAAAACCGACAATTCCATTGCGCGGTAATTTCCCCAGAGCATATAGTTCAGTTTGGATTTCCATTTGTCGTCAACTTTTTTTATTTTTATATTATATAAAATTTTATTAGTTGAAAAAGTTTTTCACTTTTCCTATTTTGTTCACTTGTATCGCTTTTATATTCTTTGAGTTCTTATCGTATTTACTATTTAACTTTGTAACAGAAACAAGCAAACTTTTCTTTTCTTTTGATTACTCTTTGTTGCGGTCTCTTTTGTCGTAAATTTCCTGCTTTCCTCGCAACTTCCCATCGCCAGGTTTAATAGAAAATTGGTGGAAAACGTAAGAACTTTTACTTGGACCAAACTTTGTTGATAATTCAAACTAAACCAAGAACATCAACGTATTCTTCTTAAATTGACAAAATTTTATAAAAGATTCAATTCACAAAATTTGTAAAAGATTAAATTCTTTGTAATTTATTTGTGAACAAAAACTGACATAATCATACATACATTTTCAAAATCATTTCAATAATAAAAAAAAGATTTAAATTTTTAATAAAATAATATAAATTTAACATAATAACAAAAATGAAAGCGCTAAAATTATTAATTTTCAAATCTAATAAAACTATATATGTAATTTATGTGAATATTCTAAAAGCAGGCGCATCCGCAAATATATATTGGAAGCTTTTAGATCTACAGGGTATCTGGTGCATTAGTAAAGCCAATTCAATTACGCCCACGTTTATCGTAAAATGCATTATCTGTTGAAATACAAAGTTTATAAGTTAGATCGGAAATTTAATATTGTCCATAAAAAATTATGTTGGAAAATTTCTATTAAAAAAAAAATTCTAAGAAAATTATATAAAATTGTTTATGCTGTATATTTGTGGAAATGTTTAATTTACAATCAATTAAATATCCAATTAATTAAATTATACTTATTAAAATTATAATTAGTAACTTATAAATAATCCAAAAGTTTTATTAGATTTTATTCTCTTTAATTAATAATAACTACATCCACTTAATGTGAAAGAAAACCCAATCAATCTAATATAATTATAATAAATTAAAACCATAAAAAATTCAATGAATTAATTAATTTTGTTCTCTAATTAATAATAACTATTTGTATTTAACCTTAATTAAGTAATCTAATAAATTAAAACCGGAGTTTAAGACAATGAAATATTTAATTAATTGAAGTAAAAAATCTATTGTAAATTTAATTAATAACTACATGTATTTAATGTTAAAGAAAATTCAAGTAATGTTACTGTATATAATAAATTAAAATCGACATTTTACGGCTATTAAATATTCAATGAAATTAAGTTCAAATTATATTAAAAACTTGATTAAAATTGTTGCGAAAGTGTTAATTTATTAATGAATGTCAAATAAAATTTTATGTAAAATGAGTTGTTCGGGCGCATGCACCAGTTATTGCGGTTCTAACATCTACGAGGTGTTTCATGTAATACCACGGATATAGAATTTCCAGTGAGAACACAGATCGATCCGCATTGCGGGAGGGCGTTACGTAACGCGCACCGGCTGCCCCGTGGTGTACGGTAATGAGCGCGTGAAAAATGTGTTCATCCGTTACGCAATTAACCGTAATATATCCACATCGAGAATGAACATAAACAGATGATGAATAGTGTTAATATTATTATTATTTAAATGCGGTGCTCAAATCGACGTAATCCATGCAGTATACACCCAGTAATCTTACCTTCGTCCTCGAAGCTCGTCCTTTCCTGCACGTACCAGCACCTCCTCTTGCTTAGAAACAACAATCACTTTTGTTTTGTTTTATTTTTTTTATTATTATTATTTCCAAATCGAGACCACTTTGATAGGTCGCACAGTGTACTTTATCTGGATTCACTTGATGGTAAAATGGAACAAACCAATAAAACTGAGTTATGGCCAAACACAAAATATCATCCCTTGGAAACACACGTAATCCTCGTTTATTGGACGAAGTTTACAAGGATCCTGATTCCACCTCTAAAAATAAATATAACAACAGTAAAAATTTATTATTAATATCAAATATAATATTTCACTTGGATAATATTAAATTATGCGACGTTTACAGTTTTATCGTGAAATAGCTACGTTTTATATACACAATAAGTCTTTGAGTAATCTAAACTTTCCGTTAATTATTAAAACAACAATTAAGATCTCATCCATTATAATTAAGATTCAAAGTTTCTATTCATTTCTCATTTGAAATGAACTTACTTTGTTTCATTTAACTGTTTCAAACTGTTTAATTACATTAAAGTTTTTAAACAAATCTAATACATTTTGTATTAAACAAATTTTGCTTATTGAAATTGAATTATTTAATATTTCTTCGTTATTTACGAACATAAATAATTTCCACATATCAGACAAAATTATTATGTATTGAAAAAATAAATAAATAAATAAATAAATAAAGGATTATAACAAATTTTACATTATTTCTTAAGTACTGAAATTCCAATATTGATTTTATTTATTGAAATGAATATTATATAAAGTATATATCCGATTGCGTGTATATAGAATCAATAATTATAGCAGTCACATGTTCTGTAATTATTAATAGTAATTAGCTTAAGATGAAATTAATTGGATTATAGGAAAAATTACAACGTAAACAAAAACGCAAACTATACACGTGACTTATATTAATATTTCCATATTTGTCTCGTGATTTCGTGGAAACATGATACGTAATTTTCTATCTATATATTTATTTATTTTTACTTTTTGAAGCATTGTTTGGATTCGATTTTGTGTATTCAATTGCACAAAATCAAAGGATTACAGTTTAATAACCCGGCGCATCCACCATTATTTCAAACGGTTCGATTTGTCGTGCATCCAGAGACTAGCAATTACTCCTCCGATCCAATTTAGTTTCGCAATAGAATACGAACCAATTTATATCTTTTACTTCAATTACTTTCATCATTTCGTTATTATTTTACCTCAACAGGTTGATACTCAATACATGTAATTTATAATACAAATCTGGGAGGAATGACCTAGAATCAATAACTCTTCACAATTATAATTAGAAATAAGTAAAGTGTTATTAATATAAATTTGCTGATTGGTATTTTAAATTATTGTTGACTGATAAAAAAAATATATCATTCTACAAATTATTACCAAATTCAATTTGAAATTTAATAATAAAAATTTTAGCTTTTGATCGAAATTAGTATAAAAACGCATTGCATATATATACAAGAAGCGAATACATTGTATGTTTTGTTTGTTTCGAAAGTAATTCAATTAATTTCCATGTCAAAAAATACGCAGGGGAAAAGCGAAACAGCAGCGAGGGTTGGTTTTTAAAACTAGAACGAAACATATATATTTTTAGTTACAATATAAAATGAATTAACAATACACACACACACAGGTAACAGAATAAAAAAAAAATGTAAATGCTTGTTGGTGTTTATTATTCTTTTTCTATATAGGTTTTCCATGCCTCGAGGTGAACAGGGGATAATTTAGGTGTTGTTTTCCCCTAGCGAAGAAATGCTTGTAGTATAATTTCCTGTGGGGGACGAGAAGCGCGTTCAGCGCTCGTAAAAGAAACGGGGGCGCTGAACGCGCGTACGCCCCCCGCGCCCCCGTGTGCCCCCATTACATTATTATTATAACTATCGCCTTGGATTGTTGAACTCTTCCCTGCTGAAACAGCTGTGTGTACTTTCAGTCAGCGCCTGACAATACTATTGTGCATGTATGTTATTTGTGTCTCGATGTGTTGTAATCCTTCAGTAACAAACGAATAATAAAACAAAACTAACGGGAAAATAAAAAAAAAATGAACTATTGGAAATTAGTTTCGGTAGACGGGATCGCATTTGGAGTCGCGCGGACGTACGTGTATGATCATTAGTGTATAAGTTTAGCAACGGTGCAGGAACGTTGCGTTACATCATCAAAATCTCTGGTTCAGCAATACGTAACTTTCCTGCACTGCGCCCGAACCCAAAAGTTCTGATTGGATTGGTGTGTTTAGGCGTTCGCCTGGTTTAGTGATTTGCTCGTCGAACACGCGGAGATATTTTGGTCTCTGTTTGCAGTCGACATGGATCGAGTTTTGGCTGAACAGCCTGCCGACAGTTGGGAATCTTTCCCATTGTTCCAAATATTGAATGATTATCTGCGTGCAGACGGTACGTTTATATCCAAAAGAAATCATTTGGATCCTTCATCGTAACCCGAGTTTTCCGACTTTACAGATAACCTGAAGAACGGCCGCTTTCATCAGCATCTCCGGGACACCTTTGCCCCTCTGGTCGTTCGATACGTCGACCTTATGGAGTCCTCCATCGCCCAATCGATTCATAAGGGATTCGAGAAGGAGAGATGGGAAATTAAAGGGTACTAGTTGATACCAACATTCACCTCTATCCGCTTTAAACCTAGGATGCATATTCACTGCTCAACATATCTCGTTAAATATTATTCCTACATCATAATATACCAACTTTCATGCTTGCTTGCCTTCCGCATCCAAGCTAATTTCCACAAACTTGTAACATTTATGCTTCGCATTTTAAGTAAAAATAATTTAATTTCTGCATTATACAAAGTATTTAAAACGAACATATAATCTTTTTTATATCTAATTTCTATTATATTACTTTTCCATAAAATGTAATACAAATGTAATCATTCGTGTTTTATTATTTAATGCGTTTCCAGTACAAAAATGAAATAACGAGTTTACAAAAAAATAATGTATGTACATAAAAGCTCTGAACTGTAATAAATTTTCACTATCGTAATAACTTTCAAGCCAGTAATTCATTTTATTACGTAATAAAACACTCTAAAGTCATTTAATTTTAGCGTCCCACGAATCCAATCGACGTGAAAACGAAATGCGCAACGGAAATTCAAGTAATCTAGTAAAAGCAAATCACTTTACAAATTTTAGCGAAGTTACAGAAACACAAATTATATATTTATTTCTTAGTGCACATATTTTTTTCTACTGTAATATATTTTAATTAAAAAGTAAATTAAAGCAAAGAAGAGGAAAATAAGTAATTAGATAAATGTTCAGTTCAAAAATTAATTAATTTCGTAAGAATTAATTAAAAAATGTGGATTTCGTTCCTATTATGCTTTATATAAAATATCTATATAATAAAAGTGATTAAAAATATATGAGAAGCAATATAAAAAAGTTCGTTTGAAGTAAAGAATTTTTAAGCATAAATTTGATTTTTTGATTTGTATTTTTCATTTATATGATGCATTTCTATTGAATTCACGGTTAATGCACATCTTTATAAATGCAGGGAATAAATGAAAAACTTTCCATTCGACATTCGATGTTAAGCTCTCTTCTGTTGTTTGGAAAAAAAAAATACAGAAACCGTAGTGAACTTTCTCCAGTTAAATCTAAGGCAAAGGCAATTTGTAATATTACAATCGATTTCAATATTCCACCAATATGAACACAGCTGTATTGGATATTTACATTACTCTGCTCTTTTTTTCAATTTGAAAAGCTTTCAATGTCAATTTCTCTTTACAGAATAAGTTCAAGATCGCATAATATATTATATAATAACGAAACACGTGTTTGAGCTTAACTGAATAGCATTGGTCTTATTAAATTATAATTACGCAATATTTATTTTTTTATTATTTTAGAGAAATTTACAAGGCTTCATATTGAAAAAAAAAATACAGAATATTATATGATGTTATGAAAGTTAACATTATTTTAATGGAAGAACATAATATAGAGATTTGAAAATACTCTTTGTAATACGAGGATGCTGGAGCTCAGAGACTCTTCAAACGTGATCCGAATGTGGATGAGTGATGTATTTACTGCATATAATCCTCAGACATTTTTTTTTTCCAAAGGTCTCAATCCTTTGCGAATTCTTTCTTTGTTGTATATGAAAAATCCGAATACGGATGTGTTTGATGATGGTGTGTGTAAAGGAAATGTAAGCATTTAATCTTTTTTTTAAATGTATCATTCACCGTATACAAGTATACCAGTATATTGATATTGTTGGGAACCTGTCAGATGTGTTTCTATCCATCCATTCCATTCTCAATTTCTGCTACAAACACGGTGAACGCATTAATAATAGATTTCAATATTTGCTGCGTCTATCGATTACCTTTGATTACACGTTCAAAATACAGTGGAAATTACATAACGGCTCAATAATTTTCAACTCTTCAACAGATATTGTATTAATCATATAAGTAGTTTTTATAAACATCATCATAATTATATAGAAAACATTTTTTCAAATTAAATTTTCATTAATCCATTAAAATCTAAATATGAGTAATTTTATTTTAGATTATTTTAAACTCAAATTTACCTATTTATCAATTTATAACTATTTTTAAAAAAATTGAAAAAAATCGTATTATTTTTTTAAAATAAGTGTCTAAACATTGAAATAAATTGAATAGTCCTTTTTTCAGAGCTAAGCTATATTAATGATGTAGTTTTCTTTAGTGTGCAAATAGAAAAGTTCTTTTATTTTATAGCTAAGCTATATTAATGATATATTTCAATTCTATGCAATTGGAATCGTCCTTTTTGTCCTTCGGGTATGCATCCTAGGTGGTTAAAATTTGATAGTCGAAAGGTTTTAGACGCGATGGCTTACCCTTGTCCGTTTCAGTAACGGATGCGCAACGTCTGAAGATCTCTTCTGGAAGCTAGATGCACTTCAGTCGTTCATCAGAGACCTTCACTGGCCGGATGCGGAGTTCAGGCAGCATCTGGAGCAGAGGCTGAAACTGATGGCCTGCGATATGATCGAATCCTGCATCCAAAGGACGGAGGGTGCTTTCCAGCAGTGGCTGAAAAAGAGCGTCACGTTCATATCCACAGATTACATCCTTCCTGGCGAGATGTGCGCCATGGTCAACGTAATTTTAGACGCGAAAAATCAATCGTTCAAACTCTGTGCCGTCGATGGCATCGATGTTGTAAGTTAATAAGCACACACGCACATTTCAGGCTGAAAAAAAAAGCAGAAACTAGACGCTATCTTCTATTGATTTTCCAGCACCAATACCACGCGAAAATCGACGACCAAATTGATAAAACTCTCGCCGCAATGAACACGGGGATGATAAACAAGCTGATGTCGGTGCTAGAAGCAACCCTCTCGAAGTTGTCGCGGTACGATGAGGGTAGTCTAATTGGCTCCATCCTTAGCTTTACGGTGAGAGATTGGAAACTCTCTAAAGGCTCAAATTATTAAACGGCTTCTATTTTTAGAACGTGTCCGGATCCGGTAAGGATATGGGACAAGGATACGTGAATTTCATGCGGAACTGTATGGATCAAATTCGGGGGAAGGTCACGGACGAGCTATGGATTTTGAACTTTTTCGAACAGTGGTATACGAACCAGATCAATATGCTATGCAATTGGTTATCGGAACGATTAGACCATACCCTGCATCCATTCCAATGCACGTGCCTTGCCCACATCGTGAAAGTAATACAATGGAAACCATTCATCTTTTACCCATTTTATGGTTGTCTGTCTTTCCAGAAAGTCTACTCTGATTTCGAGCTACAGGGCGTGATGGAGGACAAGCTGAACTCCAAGGCCTACCAGACGATCGCTCAGAGGATGCAGACGGAAGAAGCCACATGCGCTCTCACCATGGGCCAAGCCGAAGGGTAAGTTCAAACCAAATCGGTTATTTTCTATTGGGTTGGTTTGGGTTTTCTCATTTGTTCGCCGAAATCAAGCGTTCTGTTTTTTATTGGTTTCTTTATAGTGCCGATGGCGTTGAAGACGAGGGAGATAGTAGAGCCAAGCCGAAAGCAAATATCGTTGAGAGCCTCGGCGAGGACGGTAACTACGTATCTAATATAAGCAATCTAGTTACGAATCGCGTTGGTAACATCTTCGGTAAAGGGATCGGTGGACTCAGTACAAAGTTTGGTGGCGGTGCTAGTAGTTGGTTCTAAGAAGTAAACGATATTGAAAAATCTAAAATAAAGAAGAAAAAAAAACAAACCCAATAAAGGATTACATAAAAACGAAATATATACAAAAAAAAAATAATAATAATAACAAAAACAAATAAGCTTTATATTTTCTCATATTATATATTGTATAATGTCAAAATATTGCTGGTAAAACTGGTGGCTTGTGATTTGCGACGATTTCTTTGCTCTCACGATACCAACGCAAGAGAAAATTTAAATGAAAAGAAAATATATGAAAGAATGAAAAAAAAAATATATATAGTGTTAAATAAATATATATTAGACGAAAAAAAATAAATAAATAAACAAACGCGATTTTTTTGTCGTGCGGCTGTGGATGGTCAGAATTTTTGTTTGCCCTCCCCTTACAATATTTTCTTGGCAATGGGGATTCACTGCAATTTTGCTCATCCCCAACCACAGACACCAATGACATATATATATATAACACACACACATATGAAAACACGAAGAAGAAAACGGAAGTTGCAATATCATGTAATAATATTATTATTTTAGAACTAATACATAGCGATCTTTGATTACTGAGTGCGTATTATATAACTGCGCGTAGACGAGAGGAATGTTTAGTGTAGTCTTCGCATCGGGTGGTTTCGCGGAAAGGCCGTTCATACTGGATGGTCAATATCATTTATGCCCGATTTATGCTCTTCGATTCAAGTAAAACAAAAACCAAAAAAAAACGGATAATCTTATATCCTAATGCGTGGGTATTTTGAAAAGCTATGACCTGATATTGATAATAGGATTTCTGTTAAATAGGCTTTCATACTTTTGTCCATCCACTACACGTCATGTCCATCCCACACCTACATCGGACGGAAGGTCAACGCTTCAACGTGTTTAAAGCGGATGTACTCATGTGCGAACAAAGCCTCCCTCGAGGATGGTTCAGCTCGCACACACCCTCGCTCACGCACACGAATTTCTCCCTCTAACCGTATATAATTAACTTCCCAACTTTTCTAAAGCCCCGCTCCACAGGAATTTCAACCGAACAGAACTCGGTCAACTATTTAAACACCGATTAGACAACCTTACAAATTACGACAAGTCCCAGCGGTATGCAAAACGCGGCGTTTTCTCGATTACGTAAAATCACAGGTCAAAAATTTAACAGGGATTATTGCTTCAATCAAAAACAATATTTTTTAATCAAAATAATTAAATTGACCTTTACGTTTAAAACGCGTCATTTTTTTGTCCAATTACATGATTTTTTTTCAACCTACACCATATTTAATTAACTTGACATTTACTTTCCAACTTCTATTAGCTTCTATATTTGCTAATTAAATGATTCTATAAAAATCAATAAATTTTATTAATATAACAAAATATATAATTAGAAGTTTTTAAGTTAATAAAGTAAAATTAATTATAAAATATAAAATTCGCCTTATAATTAATATTACAAATTTTCAATCGAAGTCAAAGTGAACACCAACATTAAGAAAAGAACACCAATTTCTTTTTAATTTCTAAGATGCGATCGAATTAATATTTTAAATTAATTTAAAAAAAAAATGATCTTAATGTTTTTATGTTGCATTATATAATAAAAATCATATAAATATAATTAAGTTTGGAGAAAATCATGTAATTAAAATAGAAATATGATGCAAAAGTTAATTAATTTCGTAATAATATTGCGTTAAATTTCAAATAAAATCAATACAAACATGAATTCAACGTCAAAACGCCGCTTTTGTTGTTGGGGTAAATAAAGTTAAATGACATGAGGATAAGGACAATTAAATTGAAATTTCCTAGGGCTTCCTCTGAGCACGTTATGAAAAGTGCACTACATGCTAGGAAATATGTATACTGAAGAAAGGACAAAGTAGAAGAAAAAGAGAGAGAGAGAGAGAAAAATTGACGTCGTTGCATTTAAAGCACGACACGCTTTGAATATTTTAAAACCTTCCGCAATATATGCGCATTAAGTTTAACACGCTTACGAGGTGTTTCTTCGGCAGAAATCGATGTTTTAAACGAAAATTTATGCACTGAAAGGAGTAATAATAAAAATAATAACCAGAAACAATTCCTATAAAAATATCGAAATGCACGACGTTCTTATTGAAATGTACGTTACGTAATATCGGATCAAATCGATTTCTGCTTAAAATTCGTCTAAAACTTATTAGCCAGAATTTCGGTGCTTCACTTTCCATTTCGAAATAATGATAATTGGACGTGTGTCGTGTACTTGTTATGCGAGCAAACACAATGAGTTGATTGCGTAAACTCGATTTTACGCGATGTAATCAATCGTGCACGTGATCGACGGAAGCTGCACAGTTTTGTTACCAGTTTGGACATGGTTTGCAGTTGGACAGTTACGTAACGTCCACAACTCGTTCTTTGACACAAGTGCCTTGGGGTTCGACCTGTTCGTTAACGCGGGTCGATTAATGCCTTAACCGACGGTCCGTCGAACTCTAACAAAGTTTTCATTTATTTTTTTTTTTTNNNTTTATATTTCGACGTTTATTTAAACAGCGAAACCAAAAAAAACAACAAAACAAAACCGTGAAGCTTCCATTAATTAACGAATTTCTGGTTAATGATTTAAACAACAGCAACAACAAAAAAAACACTTTGTGTCAATCTAAGGGTCGATAAATAATTAATTTTTGTTTTTCAAATTATTGAAAATTTAAACTTTTTTTTTTTATTAAACTCAAACTCTCTTCAAAATATTGTCAACTTTTCTATCATGATTATAATTAATTAAAAAGTATGAAATATTGTCAACTTGATTAAAATTAATGAAAATTAATTAATAAAGTATTGATTTATTATAGTGATTGTAATGTGTAATATTCAAGAAGGTTTTATTGGATTTGAAATAAAAATGAGTTTACAGAGATTTTGGTAGAATGAATTCCTGCGACGGATCACGAAGTTGCGGGCGCACACAAATTCCACCACAAACTACACAATTGCTAATTCTCCTCAGTTCGTCCGTAACTCAATTCCGATTCCCTTGTAAATCCACGGATCAGAAGAGCATTAAATCGGGCACGCGTCTTCTTTCGTTTCAACCTACTTCTGGTCAGCTGGATACTGTTTTAGAAGGTATTTAAACAAACTAGGCTTGAATATATTTTCGTATAATGTATACATAAACAGTAGGACTTTATTTAAGACGAGTGAACATATCGATTTTCTTTTGCGTAAATCAAAAATTCGCGTCTATCCCGATGCAAATACTATAAAGGAACTAAGAAAGTTTAAGATTTTGAAAGGTTTTCAGCATTCGAAAGGCATCTACAGCCTGCATATCCCCAATATATCACACTACTGATGATCCTTCGAATGCTGAGAGCCAGAGTAGTAAAAGACGCTTTAGCACCGACGTTTTTCGACTGTTAAGACAATACACACACACATAACACAGATACCCGTACACTCAAAACACAAACAGTTAAACCAGGAGATTACGCAATCGTTATTCCTCCTTAAGCTTAACGGATATTTTCCCTTTTCATTTTCTTTCCTTTTTTCCGTTGAAAAAATAAAGAAATAAAAAGAGAGAGAGAGAGCGGGTTTCGGTGAAACAAGCTGCACAATAACCGCATTTCCAGCCAAACGCTAGAATAACAAGTATCTTTAATGATTAAAGTTAAAAAAAAAAGAAAAAAAAAACCATTGCGAAACAACGTAAAATGAATTAAGAAACAACGATGAATGGAACTAGTGTTTTATTGTATTGCATGCTATGTACCGAAACTTCTTCTAATTCCTCGTGCGTTCACTATTCAAAATTTCTAATGAATTAGTAGAGTTCCCAATAATAAATTAATTAAATTTAGACAAATATAAAATTGAAATTCTCTGAATTGTAACCAATGGTGAGAGAAAGCATCATTGCGGATGAGTGATATGTGAGTTAATAAAAGAAAAAAAGTATTTCTGATACCAGTACAAAGCGAGATGTGTGTTGCGATTTTGGTCGTTTTCGATCGGTTTGTAAAATGTAAATAATGTATAAGAGAGAGAGAAAGAGAGAGAGAAAAAAAGAGAATAAATCAGAAAAGAATACAGATAAATCAATTATAAGAGCGGAGAAAAGAAAATAAAACATGCATGGAGGAAAATGAACGTAACGATTCTATTTACTAACGCCTATTGCTATATTATACTAATTACAAATTAATTATATATAATATATATATAACCTGTTGAGAATTTTTCGAAAGTTTAACGATTTCTATTTAAAACATTGTAAAAATAGTTTGAAGCAAAAAGAAAAAAGAACAATTTAAACTGAACATTTTAAGCGTTTTCTGTGAAAGTTAATACCATGTAACCTATTCCTAGTTGATTTTTCGAACTTCTCTAAATACTTCTCTTGAACCTAACGTGTGTGTATGACGATTTATATAAACGACTTATTCTTAGAGTTTTTTCATAGTGTTTACGACTTTTTGCCGCTGGAACTGTGGCGTATGAAACCTTGTTTCGCGAAAACCCAGCGGACTTTTTTCTCTTCGTCTTATATTCTACTACTACTTCTTCTTATTATGATTAAATGAAGATAAATGAAAAAAAAAATAAAATAAATAAATAAATAAATAAAACAGTTAAAGAAATGCAATTGAAACATAACAAAAATTAAAGAAAATAACAACATTTTAAGATTGAAATCAATGAACGAACGAAAACCTTCTTAATAAATTTGTTTTTGTTTTGTTGTCTAACCAAAGAAATATTAATATGCATGTTTCCCGCAACATCAAATTGGGAGCGTTGAAGAAATAACCCACAAGGCAGAAATAACGAAATGATACAATATATATATATACACGTATGAAAAGGAAACAAACAAATATATCGAGTTATGTATGCTTGCTGGAAGAAGTTCAGTGTATGAAATATTTCAAATTCAAGGAAAAAAAAAATATGAAATTAATATAATAAAATAAATAATTGATAACCTAAGATAAACTTTTGGCCTCTGTGATTGTCAACACGTACTGAAGGTATT